GACGTAGAAAGTGTTATTTTTTTTTAAAATACCTGCATTTTATTTACAGATGCTACCTTTCTTCGAGTAGACCTGCCTATTCATCACAGTTCCAGACAAATAACCACATATCCAGTACAGACAGATATGCACAGTTCATATATAAATTTGCTACAGATATATATCCAGTACAGACAGATTCAGTTGCAGACAGATATGTACATATGAAACACATTGAAATGAATATATGTACAGACAGATCCAGTTCCAGACAGTTCATTTACTTAAACGAATGTAAATTTCCTAACTTAAATCAATTCTATCTAAATTGTTACAAGTTAAATTTCCTATGAAGATTGAATGCTTAAATTTCCTATCAAGTTGGAGCATTCTCCCAAAATCCTTCCATATGGTCATAACGGATGGCATGCACATCATCTATTTCTACATTAACACTCAAGTTTGGCATATTTGAAGAGAAACATGGTGTCTCGGGTATATCAAGTACTAATTCATCATTCTCATCAGAAGTATACATGGGTTTTCCTTGTAGAACCACTGACCATCCTTTGTTAGCGGGATCAGTGACATAAAACACTTGTTTTGCCTGAGATGCCATGATAAATGGTTCTTCGGTATAACGAGTATTTTCAAGGTTAACCAAGGTAAATCCAAGATCATCGGTGAAGATGCCAGTATTAAAATCAACCCACTTGCATTTAAAAATAGGTACTTCGAATATCGTGTAATATATTACCCAAATCTCTTCAATTACACCAAAGTAGCCCATTGACGCCCTTATCGGATATTTATCCTTTGAACTCGAGAAATGCATTGATTCAGCCACCACCATGACTCCACTATTTTGCATTGTGCTTATTTCATCTTCTCCCTTTGTATAAAATGAATAGTTATTTATATCATACCCACCCCAACATATCACATCAAAGTTTGGCTCACATGCTAGCCACTTTAGTGTATCGAAGCTGTATTGTCACCTTCAACTTGTTGTTTAAACCACTTCAAAAAGCTCTTGTTGTGTTCAGTGATCACCCACTTTTTAGGCATACGTGGATTATTTCGCTTCACAATCTCTTTATGAGCACTTAAGTAGGGGATGACTTCTTCACTGTTATTCAATATGTACAAATGCGCTTGAAGTACTTCATCTCGACACATTGTCACAACTTTTGCACCTCGAGTTCCTCTACGAAGACCTATTCCATGGTAACGAGTCTTAGGTAACCCTATAGCTTCAACTTCTGATAAGTAGTTTGTGCAAAACTCAATAGCTTCCTCTGCAATATATCTTTGAACAATTGATGCTTCAGGACGATATTGGTTCTTCACATACCCTTTTAATATTTTCATGTATCGCTCAAAAGGGTACATCCATCGTAAGAAAACTGGACCACAGATTCTAACTTCCCTGGCTAGATGAACAATCAAGTGAACCATAATATCAAAAAATGATGGAGGAAAGTACATCTCAAATTGACATAATAATTCTGCAGCCTCATTCTCTAACTGATCCAAAACATCCGGGTCCATAACTTTACTACATATGGCATTAAAAAAAAAGCATAATCGAGTTAAGGAATATCTAACATTGTCTGGTAAGATACCTCGAATAGCCACAGGTAGAAGTTGTTGCATCAATACATGACAATCATGAGATTTTAACCCAAGCAATTTGAGATCTTTCATAGATACAAGTCTCTTCACATTGGAAGAGTAACCAAATGGAACCTTCACACCTCGTAAAAACTCACAAAAACTTTTTTTCTCTTTTTTAGACGAGTGTGTGACATGCCTGGAGGCAAGTATGTTCGGTTACCATGAGGTTGAGGAGCTAATTGTTCTCTTATACCCATTTCAACCATGTCCAAACGAGCATTGACACCATCTTTTGTTTTTCCTTGAATGTTAAGGAGCGTTCGATGATACCTGTCGGACACATTTTTCTCTACATGCATGACATCTATACAATGCCTCACATCAAGAACCCTCCAATATGGAAGAACAAAAAGGATTGACATTTTCTTCCATATACCTGTGGCTTTCTTTTGCGTCTTTCCAAACTCACACGAAATTGCACTTACTCGTTGATATACTTCTTCCCCACTTAAAGGTGTTGGGGCTGCATCATTTTCTTGACACCCGTTAAATGATTTTTTTAATTTACGATATGAATGGTTTGAAGGAAGAAATCTTCGGTGTCCAAGGTACACTGTTTTCCTTCCATGTTGTAGTTGATAGTGACATGTGTCTTCTTCACATATCGGGCAAGCTTTATGTCCCTTTGTGCTGTAGCCACTCAAATTACCATATGCTGGAAAGTCATTAATTGTACAAAATAACATTGCACGCAACTTGAATAAGTCACCTGTGTACCCATCAAACACATCAACACCTTCCTCCCACAACATCTTCAACTCTTCAACCAATGGGCTTAAAAAAACATCAATGTCATTTCCAGGTTGTCTGGGACCCGAGATCATCAAAGATAGCATCAAGTACTTACGTTTCATACACAACCACGGAGGTAAGTTGTAAATAACTAACACCACAGGCCATGAACTATGTTTATCGCTTAAATTTCCATATGGATTCATTCCATCCGTAGCAAGTCCAAACCTAATGTTTCTTGGATCATTACCAAAATTCTGGAAGATGGAATCAATTTTTTTCCATTGCAATCCATCTCGCCGGATGCCTCAACCGACCATCTTTAATACGACTATCTGCATGCCATCTAGTGAGCTTTGCATCATTTCCATTAGTGAACAATCGTTTCAACCTTGGAACAATGGGAAGATACCATAACACTTTTGCTGGGGTACCCTTCATAACATCATTGTCAGAATCACCATCCTTCTTCTTGTATCGTGATTCCCCGCATTGTGGACATTCGTGATAGTTCTCAAATTCTTTCCTGTACAACACACAATCATTCGGACATGCATGAATTTTTTGGTACTCCATACCCATTGGACACAATATCTTCTTAGCATCATAATTGCGGGTTGGCAATGTGTTACCTTCAGGGAGCATGTCACTCAGCAACTCAAGCAATTCTGTGAAACTTTTATCAGTCCACCCATTCTTTGCCTTCACATTGAACAATTTTAGTACCGCCGACAATCGTGTGAACTTAGTACAATTTGTATACAAAGGCTCTTTTGCATCATTGGACAACTTCTCGTACACATGTGTGTATTGGAAGGCATCTTGTCCAAGCTCACGAATCATTTCCTCCAGCTGATCATCCATCTCTAGATCAACTTCTTCTTTGTCTTCTACACTTGGCATGTTTAATAATTCACCATGCCATGTCCACTTTATGTAACTCTTTAGGAAACCATCACAAAGAACATGTTCCCGAATAACTTCAGTCGGTAATCTTCGCTCATTCAAGCAGTTAACACAAGGGCAATAGAATCTTCCATCATTATTCGGAACATTCATCTTAGCAAATTCAAGGAATTGTTCTACTCCACTCTCATATTCATTTGTTGTTCGTCTGTAATTGATCCAACTCCGATCCATTGTTACAAATCTAATTTTCAAAATCAAATTAGCTACAGAAACACGAAATAACTACATTATAATGCCTACACGAAATCCAACTCCACTCTCAAAATAACTACATTATAATACAAATCTAATGTTCAAAATCAAAATCACGAAAGAATGCCGACAGAAACACATTCAAATGACTAAACTACTTACAATACATCTCTAAATTAGCTAAAGACACCCGTGATGTTTCCCTCTCTTGACAGCATTATTACTTACTAGATTCAATACTGTAAACCTACATTGGCTAAAGCAAGCACGAAAACTTACCTCTTGAAGACCTACAGAGGTGGCAGGTGGCGTGACGTGCAGAGCTGGGTGGGGAGAAAAGTATCCAAGGCGACAGGCACCGCAGCAGCGAGCGGCACGAAGCGTTGGCAGTGTGGCGTGACGAGCAAATGTGGGTGCGGAGAAACGTATACAAGCGAACGGGGAGCTCGGTATGGGTGAACTGATGAAAGGAAATGGAGCGTAGGGAGAAACGTACTGGGGAGCTCTGCTATGGGGGGAAGTGATGAAATGAAATGGAGCGCGGGCAAAACAGAAGATACTATGTCGGTTGCCCTAACACCCGTCATCAAAGACACTTTCTACGTCGGTTAAAACTTACCCGACATAGAAAGTTTATGATTTTATTACAAAATTGCCACCGCGCCACATACTATGACGGGTGGATTACGACCGTGATAAAAACCCGTCATAGAAAGCTATTTTTCCACTAGTGTTATTATCTATTGAAAAAGAAATGTTAAATAAAATTAATTATGATAATTTAATAGATAATTTTACATCATAAAAAACTCAAAAAATAAAATTTAAATAAAACTATAATGCATTTTAACATAAATTATTTTATTATTAAATAAAATGTTTCGTTCTTAAGTTTGCTTTAAACTTCCCAAATCTTTGAGCTGTTCCTATTTCTGGACAAATGTTGGTTTGTTGTTTGGTGGATATGAGCTTGAATATTTTATTCAAGCACCTGACATACACGGTGGAGAATTGGGCCGGTTTTGACACCTTCGAAAAAATTGGTGATTCTTGAAAAATATTTACCCTTATTGCCGTTGATCATCATTAAACAAGATGCTAATCGTCATTAAAGCATGGGAGATTAGTACCAAATTATAGATTAATAAATTTTTCAGAACGTGACCCCACATGCTTTGTGACTCATAGTGAGTTAGTTCTTGGCAGTTCCAACGTAATGAGAGTAATTAAAAATAAAATACAATGCATGTTGACTCATGATGCATCAGCATGCTTTGTGAAACTGTGTGCTTGCTTCCTCTGTTTTATGTTAAATGTAAAAATTTAAAAACAGATGAAAACAAAGTTATAAATTTATAATACAACTATGCAAGTACACGAGAGTGACTTATTTTACTTTCTTTTTGTTCACAAACAATACAAAATTATAAATGATTTTATTCATTTTTCTAATGGATGAAGTGATCAAAATTGAAGTGCAAAATAGTCATCCAAAAGTGATTATGAACCGTCAAAATAAAATCGATGCAATTAGCGTCAGAAAAGCATATCCAAATTTGATTGTTGAATGGATGTTTGTGGTGGTAATGGGGTTTTATTCCATTATCTTTATTTTCCTATTCAAAGTCAATTTTGTAATCACACTTGAAAGCTATCAAAGATTTTTACCCAAAATTTTTATCAAAATTACATAAAACGTGATTTAACAATAATTAAAATAAGGGAAAATTACACTCACTTCTCTTATTTTATTTTAAAACATAAAAAAATTTCAAATAACAATTGAATGATTTAATTAAAAGGCAATTCCTCTCACATTGCCCAACTATTTTTTTTTCTTTTTAAATTGCGTTCACCTTTTATAAGAAGATACTTGTATGTAAAAAAAAACACTTATTATAAGACACAAAAAAAAAATAATGCATCATATTTTAATTTTAAAACAGAGACTCACCTCTCTTATATTATTCAAGATAAAAATCGTATTCTTTATTTTATTTATATTTATATTTATATTAAAGTTATATGAAAAATATAATCATAAGTTGATAAATTTGATTCTATATTTTAGATTAAAATGACACTTTCGAAAAAGTATACATTTTTTTTATTTTAATAATTTGGTGACTGTATAACTTTTTATGATATTTTTAATATATAGTAATTAAATTATTCAAATTTTTTAAAAAATATTTAATTTTATATAATATTTAATTTCTATAATTTTTTATTTACGTTTTAGTTTATATGGTTTTTTTAAATAAAATAAAGGAACTAAATTCAATCTATTAAGATATAAAATGATGAATATCGATTTAAAAATTAGAAAGGATATAAATGTCATTCATTAAAATATAAAGTAACTAAAAATCTATTTTAAAATTAAAGGAAGTATGAATCTCATTGTAAAATTATGTGAAATTTTATCTAAAATTATTATTTTAACAAACATATACACGTCAATTAAACAACATCGTAATATAATTTATAAAGTAATTATTATAACAAATAATAAATTTATTTATATTAGTATCTCTCTCTCTCTCTCTCTCTCTCTCTCTATATATATATATATATATATATATATATATATATATATATATATATATATATATATTATTTGTGCCAAAAGTAATATCAAACGGGTTTCCATTTATGGCAATTTACTTTTTTGATGGTTGAATAAATCAGAATATTTATTAAAAAAAATAACAATAGACAATTCATAGTATATGCCAAAGATGCTACATTAAATTGTTTGTAAAAACATGCACACATAATTTAAAGGGTTTTAATAACATTGAATGGGTACGTTAATATAATTGTCAATATGTTTTTATTTTGCTGAGTATATATAATATAACTGCCTATATTGTATTGAGAGGAGGAATTTCGGTTTACTCAATCAACAAAGTCTATTGTTGAACCATGTTAAATAAGATTTTGTTCTAAAATAACAATGGATTTATACAACAAAGTCTATAGTTGTATACATCCAAATATTTATTAAAAAAACAGCATCGAACAATTCATTAATAATGCCAAAGAAGATATACATTAAATGGGTATATTAATATAATTGCCTATATTGTAATGAGAGGTAGAAATTTTGTTTTCTTCCACCAACAAAGTCTATAGTTGAATCATGTTAAACAAGTTTCTATTCTTGAAATAAATTATTGAAAGAGACAAAGTTTATTTCAACAATACGTAGACGTCTAAAGATCTTTCTTTTGAGAATATCTTAGTGTAATTTATTTATTTATTATTTTAAAGGAAAAGGTGAAGATTCCATGTGGTCCCTAATTCAAACTATTATGCATTTGAGAACAGAAAAAAATTGTATACACAATAGATTGCTAACTGTACTGAAGGAGAGAATCTTGGAAAATTAAAAGCATATTCCATCTCCTGCAGTAATAATTAGTTCGACCAAAACAATAAAAGGAAGAAAAAACAAAGATTTTTGGCACGTAAAAATGACTCTACTTTTGTATATAAAGCCACCTCTATATGCACACTCTATGACCAACCCAGTATCTCTCTTTTTGATCCATTTTTCATTCGTTGTGATCTTCCTCCTTCTCGTACACAGGTACCATATTGGATTCCAATCACTTGTTCATTTCATGGGTCTAGCAAAAGTCGTATGTTTCATGCTTTCTGGTTCCCCACGTGTTGTGTTTCAATAGGCACTATTTTCGAATGTTGTAGTGATAGTTTTAGTATCACCCTGCACGTGTCATCCACTCGTCGTGTTATAGAAGTCAATATCATCATCAATTGCGGGCTGTGGAAAGAATTTATGGATGTCGTTTTGATTCGGTCCCTTGGTTTTAGTTTCCTAGTTTTCATTGGTTTTGTTTGTTTTTGTATGTGTTATTGTGGGGTTATTGGTTGGTTTTTATAATCACAGGTGAAGGGACTGAAAGGTAGCAATGGCGAACCGAAACATGGAAAAGATGGCATCCATTGATGCGCAGCTTCGGCTATTGGCTCCGTCCAAAGTGAGTGAGGATGACAAACTGATTGAGTATGATGCTCTTCTGCTGGATCGGTTTCTTGATATTCTTCAGGATTTACACGGGGAGGATTTGAAGGAAACAGTGAGTTTTTTTTTTTTTTCTCTTTCTTGGCTCTCTTACGTTGATGTCTTTGTTTTAGATTTTGATTTGATTACTCATTGGTTGGTTTCTCATGTCTCAACTTGTCGTGAAAGTCTAATTCTGGTGAGAAAAAACATGGGACATGTATGGATAGATTTTGATCATTGGGTCAGGGATGTGGGTTTGGAGAGTTTTAAGGAAAAATAACTCTTGATATGGTAGCCAAGAGAAAGGCCTTTGCATCATGGATTATAGAGAAGAGATATTCATTGATTGAAATTATGTAAACAACATTTTTTTAGTTTATATGTTAAGTAGTTTTTTAAAATTTGAAATCTAACCTAACTTAATTTCAAAAGTTAATTATGAGGATTGTTGTCCCACTTATATAAAACCTTTTCAATTATATTACTATTTAATGTGGGATTTTCAACGTGCCCCTCACACTATTTAATGTGGGATTAAATATCTATAGATAGCTGGTTACATAATGGCCTAATACAAGGTGATTCAATAGATCCAATAACAGCAAGTAAGATAGACTTTTTGTATACATTGTTTTAGCTATCTCATGAGTTTCTACCCTATTTTAGCCATATCGATCGTTGTTCGTTGTGGGGAACTCCAACAAGTTTGAATGTGCTTGACTTATCTCTAAGGATACAAAAGTACAAAATATGACCTACTAGATTTTGACTGAGGTTCACTTTATGTCTTAGTGATTGAATGTAAAGTACTAGGTAGAAGGTAGCTATGTAATCAGTAAAATAAAGGGATGAACCAGGGGATTTATAGTTTACCTTGAGTTAATGATATACTGGTTATGTGATCTTTCATTTCTCTTTGACATTTATGAGTTGGAAAACTGTTTCACAGTGATGGTTAAATAAATGTTCTTGTGCAGGTTCAAGAAGTGTATGAACTTTCAGCTGAATATGAAGGAAAGCATGACCCTAAGAAACTGGAAGAACTTGGAAATGTGATAACCAGTTTGCATGCGGGGGACTCTATTGTTGTTGCCAAGTCCTTTTCTCACATGCTTAACTTGGCCAACTTGGCTGAGGAGGTCCAGATTTCACGCCGCCGAAGGAACAAGTTGAAGAAAGGGGATTTTGCAGATGAGAACAATGCAACTACAGAATCTGACATTGAAGAAACTCTCAAGAAACTTGTATTTGACTTGAAGAAGTCTCCTCAGGAAGTTTTTGATGAACTGAAAAACCAGACTGTTGATCTGGTTCTCACTGCTCATCCTACTCAATCAGTTCGCAGATCTTTGCTCCAAAAGCATGCAAGGTTTGTTACAAAATATAGTATTTTTCCGCTTCAGTATTCAATTTTGTATTTTCTTTGTTTAAGTTGAATCAAGTTAACAAAATTGAGCTTTCTGGTTTTCATCTGCTTTGCAGGATAAGGAATTGTTTATCTCAATTGCATGCCGTAGACATAACTCCTGATGATAAGCAGGAACTTGATGAGGCCCTACAGAGGGAGGTAAGTAGAAATACTATTAGGATTATGTTCCTTGGTTTAAGAAACTGTAATAACCCTTACTTTTTTTATCACATCAATGCCTTTGTTTGGAGTATATTAAGAAGAAATGTTCAAGGTGAAAAGAAACAAAGGCTCTATTGAGTCCATAACATTGTTAACAATTTTTTTTTTTTTTTTTTTTTTTTCATTTCTTTTGTCTACGTTGTGCAGATTCAAGCTGCCTTCCGTACAGATGAAATCAGGAGGACCCCTCCAACACCACAAGATGAGATGAGAGCAGGCATGAGCTACTTCCATGAAACAATTTGGAACGGTGTCCCCAAATTTCTGCGCCGTGTTGATACAGCTTTGAGCAATATAGGAATTAAGGAGCGTGTTCCTTATAATGCTCCCCTTATTCAATTTTCTTCTTGGATGGGGGGTGATCGTGATGGTATTAGTCTTATTTGAGATGAAAAAGTAGTACTACATATTATCTTAGAATACGGGACAAATAGAAGGAAATGTAACTTTATGTTTCAATATGCTACAGGTAATCCAAGAGTAACACCTGAAGTAACCAGGGATGTTTGCTTATTGGCTAGAATGATGGCTGCTAATTTGTACTATTCCCAGATAGAAGAGCTCATGTTTGAAGTAATGCATAGTTCTTTCATAGTTTTAAAATGATCATCGTAGATGGTTTATTACTCTTGAATCATTTTGGTGATTTTTCTTCTTGTTTCTGTAGCTCTCTATGTGGCGCTGCAACGATGAACTACGCGTTTATGCTGATGAAGTTCACAAGTCTTCCAAGAAAGATGAAGTTGCTAAACACTATATAGGTGTTTACCACAAACTCTATTTAAACTCGGAGGATATGTGTTTTATACTTCATTTTGTATGAAGCTATCTACACAGGGTCACAGGACAATGGAACAAACTGTTGTCTACTTGTGTCTATTATCTAAATGGTGAAAATGTATAGGTTAGTTTAGTCATGTGATAATCTTTTGCTTCTTCGTTATGCAGAATTTTGGAAAAGGGTTCCCTTAAATGAACCATATCGTGTGGTACTTGGTCAAGTAAGGGATAGGCTCTATCAGACTCGAGAGCGTTCTCGCCATTTGCTAGCTAATGGGTACTCTGATATTCCAGAGGAAAACACTTTCACAAGTGTTGAGGAGGTACATCCATTTTTTTGCTTTCCTGTACAATTACGACCATGTTTCATTTTAACATTTAGTTATTTGACATGTTAGTTTGTGGTTCAAAGAATTTATGTTTTCCTTGGATAAATTTTACAGACACTAACTAAAGTTAATTTGTGTAGTTCCTGCAACCTCTTGAACTATGTTACAGATCACTGTGTGCATGTGGTGATCGAGCAATTGCTGATGGAAGCCTTCTTGATTTCTTGAGACAAATCTCCACTTTTGGACTGTCAATAGTGAGCCTTGATATCAGGCAAGAGTCAGATCGTCACACTGATGTGTTGGATGCCATTACCAAACACTTGGAAATTGGCTCCTACCAGGAATGGTCTGAAGAGAAAAGGCAGGAATGGTTGTTGTCTGAGTTAAGTGGCAGAAGGCCACTATTTGGACCTGACCTTCCTCAAACTGAAGAAATTAGAGATGTTTTGGACACATTTCATGTCATAGCTGAACTACCATCAGATAACTTTGGAGCCTATATCATATCAATGGCAACAGCACCATCTGATGTTCTGGCAGTTGAGCTTCTGCAACGCGAATGCCATGTCAAGCATCCATTAAGAGTTGTGCCATTGTTTGAAAAGCTTGCTGACCTAGAGGCTGCTCCTGCTGCTTTGGCACGATTATTCTCTATAGACTGGTACAGAAATAGGATCAATGGGAAGCAAGAAGTGATGATTGGATACTCAGATTCAGGAAAAGATGCTGGGAGGTTCTCTGCAGCATGGCAGCTATATAAGGCTCAAGAGGAACTTATAAAGGTTGCTAAGAAATTTGGTGTTAAGCTAACCATGTTCCATGGTCGTGGTGGAACTGTTGGAAGAGGAGGTGGACCTACTCATCTTGCTATTCTGTCTCAACCTCCAGACACAATCCATGGATCACTTCGTGTGACAGTGCAAGGTGAAGTTATTGAGCAGTCATTTGGAGAACAACACTTGTGCTTTAGAACACTACAACGTTTCACTGCTGCCACTCTAGAACATGGCATGCACCCCCCTATTTCTCCAAAGCCAGAATGGCGCGCTATGATGGATGAGATGGCTGTCATTGCTACTGAGGAATACCGATCTATTGTGTTCAAGGAACCGCGCTTTGTTGAGTATTTCCGCCTGGTAAGGACCACATTTAGTAAACAACTTAATTAAGTACTTGTTCATTAAGTTCTTCTCAGATGACATGAGAGCTTATTCATAAGCTTGATTGGGAAAAGTGCTGAAATAAGATAAAGAAATATTTCATGCACCTAACAGTATAAAGAGTTTATATGCTGTATGTCAATCACAAATTGATATGTATGTTAGGTTTGTTGACTTAAAGTCATATTTTCACGACTTTGATTGATTCACAGTGTAAATTAATATTTTACATTAAGAATGCATAGAAATTGAAGTCTAGAGAAAACTTGTATTAGCCACATGCATAAGCTAAAATGGGTCCTTTAAAAGAAACCCATAATATAATCGAATCATCAACTTCCCTGTTAAGTAAAATGGCATTTAATTGTTTAAATGATGGGATTCACCATCAACTTTGTTTGATGTATCATGTAGGCTACACCAGAGTTGGAGTATGGCAGGATGAACATTGGAAGTCGACCAGCAAAGAGAAGGCCTAGTGGAGGCATTGAAACACTGCGTGCAATACCTTGGATCTTTGCATGGACACAAACAAGGTTTCATCTTCCAGTGTGGCTAGGATTTGGAGCAGCATTTAAAACAGTTATTCAGAAAAATGCTAAAAATCTCAGTATGCTGCAAGAGATGTACAACCAATGGCCCTTCTTTAGGGTCACACTTGATTTGGTGGAAATGGTGTTTGCCAAAGGAGATCCAGAAATCGCTGCTCTGAATGATAGGCTCCTCGTTTCACAGGACCTCTGGCCGTTTGGGGATC